CGCCGTGAGCAGCCGTCCAATGGCCAGCGAGCGACTACCTCACCCAGGAAGAGCGCAATGATAATACCAACATGGGCCAGTAAAGCGACGTCCTCCACAACTAGACTGAAGAACAAAAGGACAGCAACTTGTCTGTTCCCCTCCCCCAATTCCCCAATAAAATCTTTAAAAATATAAAAATAAATAAACAAAAAAGAAAATGCACATAGAGTGTATGTCATGGTGTGAGGCCTCCTTCTCAGGTCTATACAGGGAGCAGGCTTGACCCAGGGCCCAGGTGAGACCCCAGAATTACCTCTGAGTTTGCAGTTTGCACCAAGACCTCGCCCCCTCAGCTGCCCCCACCAGTGACTGAGCAGGAACACTGAGGCAGGCCTGTTCCTAAGAGACAGCAGGCTCCAATGATGGGGGACTGGTCCAGGGTGCCCCACGGCCTTGCCAAACTCCCTTAGAACCACAGGGCTGTGCAAGACACACCTACCCACTTGGACGCAGGGTCAGACCTATGTTGGAGGGACCGCCTCCCTCCCAGCCTCGCTGGGGCATTTTCTCTCATGGGTGTTTCCCTAATAAATATCATGCACATTTAATCTCATTTTGTCTTTGGCTTCTTGGAGGACCAAGACAATACACAGTGTCTAGCAAATAATAGGTCTCTGATTCACGTTGGCTATTGTCATTATTAACTGTGATTATTCCAGTTCTTTGACAATGACAGCTGGGTCTCTGTTGTAAAAGCAAGACTGGATTTCAACCCCAGGGCTACTCCCTACTACCTGTCCTGGTATTTAAACTCCCCAGGCCTAGGAAGCAGGGAAGATAACGGTTATGCCTCCAGGGTTATAGTGAGCAGTGTCAGATGCAAAAGACCATCAGACATACCTGTCCACACTACACCCAAGCATGAATTGTTCACTGTTATCAGTTTACTTAGCATCTGATCTGTATTTACTGACAGCATAGCATTCGCCTAAAGCTCAAGCTCTCTTCCCAGCCTGTGTGTGTGTGTGTGTGTGTGTGTGTGTGGTATGTATGTGTGTGTGCGCGCGTGCGTGCGTGTGTGTGTGTGTTGGGGGAGGTGAGAGGGTCGAGGGGCTGGCAGTCAGTTTCACAGACTGAGGTCCCAGTGGGCGGGCTGTTTCTGACCCTCCTCTGTGGGTGGGGGAGGGGCCTCCGCCATGTCAAAAACTGTCCCACTGACAGCTGTGAGACCCTGAGCAGGTCATCTGACCACTCTGGGCCTTCCTTTCTTACCCTGAGATGGTGATAACAATCTTTGCTTTCTCTGCTTCATAGGGTCATAATATTAATTTTTAGAAATACTATTAATTAAAACATCAACATAAGGGAATGTCGCTTGTAAACTGTCTTGCAATTATGTAGACTCTCCCCCAACATGTGCAAATCGGCAACGGCCCCAAGCCCTTTTGTTACTTCATGTGAGAGTGGTTAACTTCATGGATGATTACAAAGGACTTCCCTCCTACTGATCTTATCAAAGAGTGACACTGAACAAGTGCCTCCCGCAGACAGCCTGTGTGCTGTGAGGGGAGGCGGGGAGCAGGCAGAGTGAAGAGCAGGGAGGTTCCCCAACAGAGAAGAGGTTTTGTTTGGATTTCGGGGCCAGGCCCGGCAGCAGGGTGTGGCAGGGCCCCCAAGGGTCACAGCTGTAGCACAGACCCCAAGTCTCCCTCAGCAGCCAGCGGCACTGTGGATGACGAAAGTACCATAGTGACCAGTGTGGACTAAAGATCTGAGGGCCATGGAATGTTCTGGATGAGAAAGATGACCCACCCCCTGGCCGGAACATTTCACACCACTCAGGAGCAGAGAGCCCCTGTTCTGCTGCCCAATTTAAGCTTGGACGGGATCGAGCTGCATAAACCAAGGGAGCCAACAGCTTCTGCAAAGTTCAATCTCAAAGCCAGGCATCCCAATTGTGTGACCTCCTCCAGGCCTCTGGACTTGGCCTCCTGATTCCCGGTCAGGGAAGCACAGGCTGGACTAAGAGACATGAGAGACCCGAGACCACTGCCCTTGGCAGGGGAGGGAGTGTAGCCAAAGAGAGAAGAGCTGGCCAGTCCCAAAGGCAGGCAGAACCCCTGGCCAGAAGCAGGAACATCTGCAGAAATGCCAACCAGTGGGAGGTGTGCTGTGGGCCTGGGCTCAGGGGGCCAGAGGCCGTGGCTGGGCTGGCAGTCAAGTTTTGAGAAGCAGAGTCCACCCTTCCTCGCTGCCCTGATGACTGCACCCTTTGGCTGGTGTGAGGCTCGTTTATAGCCTGTCACCAGTCAGGACGCAGGCCAGGAGTGCTTGCCAAGGGACACTAGCCAGCTGGGAGGATATTTGAACTGCAGCTACAATACGATTCTGATGTGAAGGAGCCCGTGAGGGCGACAGTCGGGTGGGGCTAGACGGAGGGAAAACCTCAGGGAGAAGAAGAAAGCCAGAAAAGCAGAAGGAATGGGGTCAGCCAGGGCGGTCCCTCAACACAGCCGAGACCAGGTGGGCGCTGTGCTGGGTACCATGCTGGGTACTATGCTAGATCCCGTTCTGGGCCCTGGGGTTCAGGATGCACAAACATGGCCCAGCGCTTGCAGTCTGTGGTGGGGTCTGCAGACGAGAGCACAGATGACTATGAAAGACCCATGAGGCCGCAAAGTATTATCGGAGCTCCAAGGAGGGAGGTGGGGACATCTAAGAGGGCTTCGTGAGTAGGTGGCACTGGCTCCGAGCTTTCGTGGTGTGCCGACATTTGAGAGGGGGGTTTGAGAAAAGGTGAATCACAGCATGTTTGCAGACAGTGCACCCAGCTTTTAGAAGCCAAGCCCCAGGAAATGCTAGCGCGCCCCTGACCAGAGGGGCCTGGAAGCTGGTTAGGAGGCTGGTTAGGAGATGAGGCCAGGCTCCTGTGCAGGGCCAAGGAGGCTGGGAACCAGAGGATGCAGAGACAAGACGCTAGGACCCAGGAGCCCAGCTCCAGAGGCGTGGGCGTGGGCAGGCACAGAGGCAGGCCTGTATCCCTGTATGTCCAAACCACAAGAAACAACCTCCTCCCCAGGGCCGGCTCTGCCAGCGTGCCCTGCGCTGTGCCAAGCACACCAGTAAATTCTTCGCCTCAATCCTTCTTCCCTCCCTCCTGCAAGGTGGCAACTCTCACCTTCCCCCGGAGCCAGCTGAAGCTGTGGGGGCTCGGGGACACGCTCCCGAGTTGTCACAGCCATAGTGGGGATTCGAACCCGGGCCTGCGGCCCTGGACCCAGGCTCTCAGCCTCTGTGAGTCCTGCCTCCCAGGAGCGTACTCTCTCCAGTGTTCCTCCACGGGTGCCTTCTACCTCCATGAGTTTCCTTGAGCCTTGACATACAAGGGGCGAAGGCGTTGTTCCCCCGTTTTACAGATGAAAAATGAGGTTACGGGAGGGTATAGGATCTGCTCCCAGCCAGAGCTACTAAGCATCAATGCTGGATCAGAACTCACATCCTGGGCACGCTAGCAAGCAGGCACTGGGGACGTGTCTCTGAGCTGGTGGAAGGACCACAAGGGAGACCCGGACCCCAGGGGGAGGTCCCCGGACTGGGGAGGTGGAAAAGGCTTTAGCTGCTCCCTTTTACCAGATGGGAGAAGTGAAATGTTTCCTTATTGCAAAATTGGTTTTGAAATGTCATAGCACATGGAAAATGAGCGTGCCTGAGCCCCATGGGAGAGCACACTGGTAGAGCACCCAGGACACGGCTCCCCTCTCCGAGGCTCCAGGTCAAGTTCCTGGGGGCTCATCTGATTGATGCGCTCCCCCAGATTCCAGGGCCTGCTTACCCTGGCCTTGCCAATAGGTCTTCCTCAGGACCACCCTTGCCTCGCTTAAGCCAGACCCACCAACAGGGGTAATGACCTGCCAGCAAAGCGTACAAGGTCCAAAGGGATTAATACCCTAAGACAGAGAGTACACATGCAGGATGGTGGTGTTCCCAGACAGAGAACAACACGAGCTGGGGCTGGGGTCGGGGGTGGGGACAGGAGAGGCTCATGGGCAAGGGAGCGCCTTATTTCACAGGAACACTCAGACCCAAACAGAAAGGCTTTCCAAGGAGAGGCAACAGCGTGGGAAAGGCTTAGTGATAGGAAATCTAGGGGGTTTCTGCTAACAGGAGGGGGTGTGTGCTTGGGAGGATGTGGGGAGTGGGTGCCGAGCCTGGAAAACGGGGCTGTGCAGATAGTGGAGGATTTCCGGTGCCAAGTGAAGTTTGGTGTTAGGTGGGCAATGAGGAGCCACGGAAGGTTTTAGGGGCGGAGAATAAGATCCTGAAACCCATGTTAGGGATTCTCCTCACACACGGTTGTGTGTGGCTGCTGGATTATGTGCACATCTGTCCCCGGTTACGCCACGAACCTGAGAATAGGGCGTGTCTCACCCGCCTCCACGGCCCAGGACCCCACACGAGGGTGGCCAGTGAGGCTCTGAACTCAGCCCTGGGTTCAAGCCCCGACTTGCCTAATTCTTTGGATTTTGGCCCATCACCGTGTTTAGGAATCGATTTCAGTATTGAAAAGTGAGGACAATAAAACCACATGCACACAGCTTTTGTGAAATGAAACAGGAAAGCTGACCATGCAGCCTTGAGCACATAATGAGTGTTGAATGAACGTCAATTCCCCTCTCCCAGTGACCCGGGCAGAGTAATCATTTGATAAATGCCCACTGGTGACAATAACAATGATGACGAGGACAAAGGCCAAGTCTGACAAGGAGGGAAGGGGCTCTGGGCTGCCCACTCCTCTCCCACCTCTAGGCCTGTCCTGTCCCAGCCGTCTCTGACCTTCCGAATGTCCAGTCCCCCATCTGCTGTTACAGAGAAGAGGTCCAAGCTCCATGGCCCGGTGTCCCAGGCTGTCGTGCTCTGACCCCTACCCGCCTCTCTGGCCTCGTCCCCTGATTCTGCCCGACAGTTGGTGCTGCCCCAATACCAACCTTGTTGGGGCCCCCAGCATGTGCCCCAAGAGTTCCCACCTCCAGTGCCTTTCTTACACATTCCCTCTGCCTGGAGCCCCCTCCTCCCACCCTCACCCCTGCAGCCCCCTACTTGGCTAACTCCTCCTCATTTAAGCCTCAGCAGCTAAGTTGCTTGTCCCCAGAGGCCTCTCTTGACCCCCGAGGACTAGGCTGGGGAATGTGACCTCCTCAGGGCTCTTCTACGTCCTGGGTTCCCCACTCGCTTCATCATCCAACTGGGAAGCCTCTGACCAGATCACTCGAGAGCGGTCACCCCCTCCTTTCTGCTGTGACGGTCACTTGGGCAGGGCTCTAACCAGCACACCAAGCATCCATCGTTCATGGTTGTTATAAAGGGCAGGGCGGGGATGGGGTGACCTTTCACGCTGGGAGATGTAGGCCTCCCTGCACCTACCGTGGAGGGGCAGGGATGTCTGTAATTAAGTTGTATGGCCTAGGGCTGGGCGGGAGCAGCCTGAGGGCAGGGACCAGGGCGCGGTCACCCGCCGTCCTGAGGCCCTGGTTCGAGGCCTGGCATGGGGGAGGCTGGTGGCAACCTGACTCAGAGTGGAGGGTTTCAGGTCCATCGGGGTCCAGCCAATGAAGGACTGAGAAGGACGATTCTGAGGGCAAGTGGGGAGGTAGGCAATACCCAAAACACTGGCGGTAAATTGGGGAGGGCATAGCGGGATGGGACTAGAAAGGGTGTCATTGTCACTGCCAACTCAGGTTATTTACATCAAGCTTTACAGGTTGCACAGGGCTTTCTCCTACACTAACATTCATTCAGCAACAATGCCAACTCTCACTGAGCGCCCTCTGTGTCCCTGGCCCCCCTCTCATCAACATTCCATACTAATTAGCATCACCCCATTCTAGGTGGGGAGTAAACTGAGGCCCAGTAGGATCAGGCGACTTGCAGGGAGTCACACAACCAGCAAGAAGCAGAGCTGGGATTTGAAACCCAGGATGTCCAGACTCAAAGCCTGTTCTCTCTCTAGTCCAGGGAGCTGTTCAATTAAACAGTGTCTGAGAAAACAGAGCACCCCACTCCAACCCTGCCAGGCACAGGGTCTCCTGAGAAGCACACGACACTGTAGAGAAGCAGAAAGCTCATCGGATGAGGAGCCAGAGACCTCAGTTCCAGGAGGGAATGTCCACCCTGAGACCTTTCAACCAGAAAACATCACATGCCCCCTCCAAGACTCAGTTTCCCCAATTGTTAAATGCACACAATAGCTCCTCTCTCATAATGCTTTGGTGAAGCTTAAACCATGGGCCCTGGAAGGGTGATGCAAATTCTTAATTTTGACTGTCCACTTCCAAAAAGAACATTGCATATTTTCAATAAAGTGCACAAAATCGATAAGACAGCACAAAAAAAGAAGACACACAGGGGACAGGGTGTAGGGTCAGCTTCTATCTTTGTCAGGGATCAGCTTGTGCAGAAGGAGATAAGCCTCCCCTATAAAGCAACCATTGTTAGGTGACAAATTAGAATTGTGGGACATCCCAATGGATATTCCCAAGAGATGACCCAAGAGATGTGTATGTCAACTGTTTGGCTTACAGATGGGAAACTGAGGCCCAGAGAGGGGCAGAGACTTGGCTGAAGTCACACAGCACTAGCACCACATGGAGACTGTAACTCAGGTCTCTGACTCTTAGTCCACTGCTCTTTCCCCTTGCCTCAGGCCTGGAGCAGGTGCCCTCAGACGGGGGCACCATGGTGCAGGTCCAGGCTCTGGGCACCAGCACTTTCGGTCAGTGTAGCTTCATGTAGACGGAGCCTACTTTGTGCCAGGCTGGGGGTAAAGCTGGAACCCCACCCTGGAGAAACCAAAGGGGTCATTCTTCACTGGATATAGCCCCCCTCCCCATCCCCCTGAAGGCCGACCTGGGCCAACCCAGACCTGGCAGGGACCTGAGCTACAGGGAAGCGGGGAAGTGGGGCGGAAAGCCAGGCCTGGGCCAGCTGGGTTGGGGGCTCACCTGGCTGCATGGTGCCCCGCCGGGACAGAAGCGCCAGGGGTTGGGCTCTGGACCTTACCTACCAAGGGTTGTCCCAAACCCCAGAGTTAAGGTTTTCGCTGGAAGATTGCAGAGGAGCCAACCTCGGGGGCCAACTTAACCTTCTGGAACTCCGGCAAAATTTCAACTTCAACAAAATGGCCCAGGAAATCCAACCCATTTGGGGTTGAAGAAAGCTGGCCTTTAAAAAGGGGGAAGCCCGAGGGCTGAGAAGGAGCGACACGGCCAAGGCCGCGGGGCTGTCGCGGCCTCGGCTTCTGCATACCTCGGTCTCCCACAGCCTGGCCTCCAGGGCGGCCCGGGGCCCCTGGGTGTTGTCGTTGATCTGCAGCCGCTCCTGCACGGCCTTCATCCACGCCCGGGCGTCCTCCACGCTCCTGTCGAAGCCCTCCTGGGGCTGCTGAGTCATCGCACCTGCGAGGGCTGAAGGCAGGAGCACGTGAGATCAGGCAGGTGGGAGGGAATGCCAGGGGCTGCGGAGAGGCCGTGGGCAGGCTGACGGGGCGGCGAGGGTGGGGGGACTGCCACTGGGGACTGGCCCACACCCCACCACCCACACCCCTCCTGGGGCTCTGACTTGGGCGACACAGCCAGGGGTGACGGTGTTTGTCAAAGTGCCAAAGGACTGGAAACAGGCAGGGACGGGAACAGGCCTGGGCTGTCCTGTGGCAGAGCAGGGACAGCGGGCCAGGGCCAGGTTGGCCAAGATGCTCTCTGGCCTCTCAGCTCCCCTCTCACCCGACCTTGGGGCCCATGGACACCTCCCTTCTGTCTCTTTGGGCTGGGGCCTCCGGGAAAGAGGGCCCTACAAGACAGACAGTCTGAGATGTCGGTGACAGGGAATGTATCTTGATCTGAATGAATCGACCTAAGAAACAAAATTTTTGGCACTGGCCAAGCTGACACCAGCCCCTGAAACGCGCCTGAAATTAACATCCCATGCTGGGGACAGCCACGTTAGCCAGGTGTCCTGTCACTACTTCTCCACCAACTGGGGTCCATGGCAGACACTGCTACCACTGAGTCACACACCTCCTACTCCTGGCAGCTGCCGACAATCACCTGCCTCAGCACTTGAGATAAGACCGACTTGTATTGCCCGCCTTAGGCGACACCTGCCTGCCGGGGTAGGTCTTCCCGGCTTAACCAAGCCCTCTGCTAACTGTGCATTCCCTCCTCACCCTTACCTTCCAGCTGTGGATGCAAAGTCTTAGATTTTCTCATGCAACTTTCTCAAAACCCCACCAAGCCCAGCAAAACTCTTCTGTATGCCAGTTCTTGCTGTCTGCTTATGGCAACTCTAACCTACTTTGGATTAAAGTTATTTATATCTGCATCTTCTGTGAAGGATTGTACCTAGCTTATCCTCCAATCTCCCATGATGCCTTGCACAGAGTAAGCCCTTCACAGACGTCATTGAAATAGCCCGGAGTTGGTATAAAGTTTAATGCATCCCAAACCAACCACGGCGTGAGCTCAAATGGCAAAACAAAACAAAACTAGAAATAACCCACATGCCCAATAATAGGGAGTTAGTTAAGTCACGTGCGGTACACTTACATTTCAGACTATTACACAGCCAACAAAAGGTATGCTTACAAAGAATTTGCGATGGAGAATTCTTCAGATATAATAATGCCAAAAAATGAGACAGTCGTATATTTAGTAGTCATAATTCTATAACTAATAAAAGCAAAACAAAACAACCACCAAAATCTATGCTTGTAGATAAAGGTTGGGAATTCTTGCCATTACAGTGCCCACGTGACTGAGCTGGAGTGAGGGGCTGTGGGCAGAAGAACCCATGCCACATCCCATGTGACTCAGCCTTCTCTTTCCCTGGCACGGTGTCCTGGGAGGCCCCTTGGTTAAGGATGATTGTCTGTGGTTGGTGGAAACACAACTGAAAGTTTTTCTATTTCCTTCTGTTTCCTCTTAGGTACTTTGTGAATTTCCCAGAAAAGAAAATCATTCCTTAAAAAAAAAAAAAGACTCTTAACATTGGCTGAATTGTGAGTTGGCCCTCTCTTCTCAATCATCCGTTGGTTGTTGAACAAGGGTTGACTGGGAGTCTGGGCATCTTCCCCGGCCCTGCACTGGGCAGGTCCTGCCATCAGACTGCACAAGGCAGGCCATCAGGCCTGTGTGGAAGGACACCAGCAGTGACGGGGACCCGCTGACCCAGAGTGGGCTTCGCTCTGGGACCTGGGCCACCCGCCGTTTGGAGCTCAGCCTCTCAACGTTGTTTCCCTTTCAGAGCTGTTTTGATTTTTTTTTCTAACAATTTAATATGTTCCCCGCAGCCACTCCCAGTCTTTGAATCTTCGTTTGAAAGGCACATTAGAATGTGCAGGCGTTTAAATTGGTTCATTGTGGCTTTAATCTCTTGTCTAGTGTGTGACTTGATTGGCTTCCAAAAGCTCCGCTTTTATTTTTATAAAACAAGATCTGGGAGAGGCGAAACTAGGCTCCCAGAGTTTCAGATGACACAAAGGTGGGGGCACTCTAGTTACCAAAAGGCAGCTAGGCTTTGGACAACCCTTGCGGGTAGAAATGCCCAGGGCCTGTGAGGTGGGTGCTTTGGAGACCCCAAGGTACATCAGATGGAGCATAAGGGGTCCACGGGGGAACAGGGCTTGGGGGGGCCTCAGACCCACGGATCAGCCTCAGCTGAGGCACCTAACTAACCGCATGGGCTTGGAAGGTTGCAGGCAGAATTCAAGAGGCCACGGCCTCTTGTCCTGTTCTGCCAAACCGTTTCCTTCATCTTCAACGCAACACACAGGACGTAAGCACACACACTCCTAGCCAGACCTGGCACACCACACGAGTTAACAGCCAGTGCACAGGCACCACCCCACCTGAAGAGGCTCCCAGGAGAGAAAGTGCACCTTGAACTTGAGTGTGGGCTGCAGGTGGATGAGCTGCAAGCCGGAGGGAGGGGTCTGAGCTGAGCAGAATGGGATCCCTTCTCAGAATAAAGGCTTGAACTGCCAAGACTAAAATGCAAAGAATTACAGAGGAAACCAATCGTATTATAACATAGTTATCAAAATACTGAAAACCTAATTCATGAGACACACACACACACACACATACACACACACTTCTTCAGTAATACCTTAAATCACAAGACCTAACAAGGGGTATAATAACTACCGTAACTTTGAAATAGTGATGGGCATAAATATTATTTCAAGATATCTACAACTGCAACGGAACATAAAAACATGTGACGCAGGCACTGTTAATACCAGAGTGAGCCTTGTTTTGGTTTTGTCTTTTGCATCTTTGAAGGAATTGCTATCAGTTAAAGGTGAGTAGCAATAAGGATGTTGTTAGTTTCCTAGCCAAGTTCATGAGCCCCTAAGTTTTATCTGTAGTAGCTCCCTGTCAGTCCACTCACCGAGGAGGAATCCAGCTCAGCCTCCTAACAGCCAGTGGAAAGGAGCCAAAGGAGCCGTTTTGTTTCACACCTTTAAAAGTTGAACGTCAAACCAAATGAGCAGCTCATGAAACATCCATCCACGATTGATTTAAAGCCCAGGAAGGCGGTCCTCCCAAGCGTCCCTCCCTGAAACTCACTAGAGAGCCTCGTTGAGTTCCCTTTGTAGGAGCCCTGGGCGGAGGCAGAGGCCTCAGGGAGACAGATGATCACAGTGGCCAGGTGAGCCAGGCGAGCCAGGCGGTGCCAGACCCTCCCTCACAGGGAGGACAGCCAGCACCTTCTCTGATGAAAGAAGGAACTTGGTCCTCAGTGAATTCCAATCAGCTTCTGGCCCTCTTCCCTTTCCTCCTCCAGGCGGCAGCCAGACGGGGCTTTCTAAACCACAAATCCAGCTGGCACTGCCCTACTTAAAAGATCTGTTGCAGCATGGTCAGCCGCCTGGCCCCAAGCCCCCCGTGTGACAGTTTCCAGCTTTGCATCTCCTCGTGCTCCTCACAACCGAGCCCACAGCGCACACGCAGCTCTTACGTAGCATGCAGCCTCCTCACTGGCACAGCCAAGAGCGTGCCTGACCTCTGTGCCCTCTGAGAGAAGCGTGCTCCATCCAACGAGGAGCTCCAGAGCACCTGTGACCACCGAGCACACTTTTCTGTCCCTGGTGATCTATCTCCCCTCTTGCCTGGGAGCAGGGCGGTGGGTGCCTTATGCCCTCTGCACCCAGTGCTCGTGAGCCAAGTAATCAGCCCTTCAATAATGTGGACTAAAGGGACAAATGAGCCAAGGAAACAATGCTCAGTACTGGGCTGAGCAGGGCAGGGGGGCCTTCCGAAAGGAGACAGGGCAAGTCGCAGAAGGAGCCCTGGACTTGGAGCCTGTACATTTACGCTGAGCAAGTGCCGTTGCCTTTCTGGGCCTCAGTTTCCCCACCTGTACGCTGTGAGTGTTGAGCAGGGGGTCTCTGAGGGATCTCCAAGGTTATGGGTTGAGAGGTTCCATGTTACCCAGGAGCTGTGAGCCAGGCCAAGGCCGGCGCTGAACTGGGCCTGGGGACTCACCTCCAACCTCAGCCTGTCAGCTTGGTCTTGGCTCTGACTCCCTTCTATCCCCAGAGAGCCCCTCCTCAGCCAGCTCAGAGCACCACTTCCAGCATCGTGGCCCCCACTACCAAGCTGCCCTCCAAGGGAGATGGCCCAGGGGACCTTTTACATCAGTGATGGAGGGGGTCTGCACTTTTTTTGTAAAGACGCAGATAGTAAATGTATTTAGATAGTGCAGGCCACTTACAGTCTCTGTTGCATATTCTTCTTTGAGCTGACAACCCTTTACAGATGTAAGAGCCATTCTATATTCACTGGCTGCACCAAAACACACTGCTAGCTGAATATGCACTATAGGCTTGTTTGCCACCCCTGCTTCTTAGATAGTCCAAGGCTACGGCCAGCTGCTGCAGGAAACCACAGTGGCCAGCAGGCAAAGCTAGCCGGCCAAGTGACCCACGGGCATGTGCCTTGGGAAAGGGCAGGTGTTGAAGCCAGAAGGATCTAGAATTGGTCCTGGTAGCAGTCTTGGCCCCACCATTTACTAGCTGTGTGCCATCTGGCCAGTCACTGAACCTCTGGGTTTCTATCGCCTCCTCTGGAAATTGGGTGTCATATTCTGTTCTGGCTCCTATAACAAAGGAACACAAACAGTGGCTTATAAACAGCAGAATTTACTTCTCACAGTTTTGGAGGCTGGAGGTCTGAGATCAAGGTGTCAGCATGGTCAGGTGAGGGCCCGCTTCCAGGTGGTGGACTTCTTACTGTGGGGAGGGGCTAGGAAGCCCTGTGGGGTCTTTTCTATGAGAGCACGAATCTCATCCGTGAGGGCTCCACCTCATGACCTGATCACCTCCCACAGGCCCCACCTCCTAACACCACCTCCTAACACCATGGTGGGGTTAAGAATCCATTATGGGAATTTTGGGGGGGGACAC